GAGCCTTGGGCAGGGAGTTCCATGCGGGCATGATAGCGGGGATGTACTGTGCTGGAGCACCTAGCATGAGTGGGCAGGATGTAGGCAGCAAATGCCTACCTAGAGGGCAGTCAGTATGGGCCCTCCTTCTAGAATTAGGCTGGAGGAGGGTGAAGACAGGATGGCTGGGCTGCCTGCACCCAGGATACACAGGCTTCCCCCTTTGTCCTCAAAACAATACAGCCACTATCTTAGTTCTAACAAGTATCACAAAACCAACAAGACCTTGGAAAACAAAAGGAGCAGTCAGCCCCACAGAATAGCCCAGGAAAATGTAATTCCCAGAGTCCTGAGACATAAGAACATAAGAACAGCCGTACTGGGTCAGACCAAAGGTCCATCTAGCCCAGTATCCTGTCTGCTGACAGTGGCCAGTACCAGGTGCCCCAGAGAGGGTGGACTGAAGACAATGATCAAGCGATTTGTCTCCTGCCAGCCCTCTCCAGCCTTTGACAAACAGAGGCCAGGGACACCAATTCTATCCCCTGGCTAATAGCCTTTTATGGACCTAACCTCCATGAAATTATCTAGCTTCTCTTTAAACTCTATTATAGTCCTAGCCTTCACCGCCTCCTCTGGCAAGGAGTTCCACAGGTTGACTACACGCTGTGTGAAGAAGAACTTTCTTTTATTAGTTTTAAACCTGCTCCCCATTAATTTCATTTGGTGTCCTCTAGTTCTTCTATTATGGGAACTAATAAATAACTTTTCTTTATCGGCCCTCTCCACACCACTCATGATTTTATAGGCCTCTATCATATCCCCCCTCAGTCGCCTCTTTTCTAAACTGAAAAGTCCCAGTCGCTTTAACCTCTCCTCATATGGGACCCGTTCCAAACCCCTAATCATTTTAGTTACCCTTTTCTGAACCCTTTCCAAGGCCAAAGTATCTTTTTTGAGGTGAGGAGACCACAGCTGTACACAGTATTCAAGATGTGGGCGTACCATAGTTTTATACAGGGGCAGTAAGATATTCTGTGTCTTATTTTCTATCCCTTTCTTAATAATTCCTAGCATCCTATTTGCCTTTTTGACCGCCGCTGCACACTGTGTGGAAGTTTTCAGAGAACTATCCATGATAACTCCAAGATCTCTTTCCTGATTTGTCATAGCCAAATTAGCCCCCATCACACTGTACGAATAGTTGGGGTTATTTTTCCCAATGTGCATAACTTTACACTTATCCACATTAAATTTCATTTGCCATTTTGTTGCCCAATCACTCAGTTTGATGAGATCTTTTTGGAGTCCCTCACAGTCTGCTTCTGTCTTGACTATCCTAAACAGTTTTGTATCATCCGCAAACTTTACCACCTCACTGCTTACCCCTTTCTCCAGATCATATATGAATAATTTGAAAAGGATTGGTCCCAGGACTGACCCTTGGGGGACACCACTAGTTACCCCTCTCCATTCTGAAAATTTACAATGTATTCCTACCCTTTGTTTCCTGTTTTTTAACCAGTTCTCAATCCAAGAAAGGACCTTCCCTCTTATCAGATGGCCATGTAATTTACACAAGAGCCTTTGGTGAGGGACCTTGTCAAAGGCTTTCTGAAAAAATAATAACGTTTTTGACCCATTATTATTGGCTATCTGGGGATGGGCTCATACAGGAAAGATGATTCCTGGGGGCACAGGCCCATTCTTATATCCAGCTACAGTTACCAGGGGTTTCTCTTCATCCTCTCTTATCAACATTTGCAAATGTAAAACTGGACTCAAGGCCTGAAGGGAATTGTGTGTGTGAGATGTAAGATATTGAGTATGTAAAATGCTCCGGATCTGCCTTTCCTTCCCTCCCAGTCTGTACTATGTGCACAGCCATTTCCTACTCCCTATGCTAAGCATCTCCCTCTCCCTCTCTCTTTCTCTCTCAGACCAGGGATCAACCCAGGCACTCAGCTCCCATCTTGATATCTTGTCCTTTGTTTGTACCACATTCATTTCATAGTCATGAACAGAGGCCTGCCCCAACGAGCCTTCATAAAGGGCTACAGCACTGTGCAAATAATCATTCGTTCCCCTCTCTCACCCTTTCCCTGCATTCCCTCCCCACTAGCTTCAAACAGGAGGTTCAAGGTCACCTTGATTCCTTGTGGCAGTGAGTTCCATAGGCATGGAGCAGCAGCTAGTCAAACCCTAAAGTGGGGTTCTGGGGGAGACAGAGACAGGTGATCTCTTGAAGAGGCCTTTAAAGATAAGGAGTGAAGCCTTGGGATTAGCATACCTAGGCTGCCCCATTCTGGGCTAACAGAAGCTGTCACTGTTTCTGTTGCTAGGTCATAGAAGTGTGTCTGATAAGTGGGAAAAGCTTTTAGGGATGGAGGATGCTGGTTGCAGCCACAGCTACATGGGTATCTGAGAAGGGTCCCATGAGCACAGATGCCTTGGATAAAGGGTTCTGGTGGGGTGGCAGCTAGTTCTTAAAACCTGGTTCTTCTCTCTCCTCCTCATCACCATGCTACCTTGGGTTAGCTCTAGAGTCAGAAGCTGCCTTTCCTGTGGATCTCCACGGTGGGGATAGGAATCCAGGCAGTGCAAGGGCTCTGCAAGGCTTTTCCATTTCACTTTGGGGTAACTCCACTCAGATATTTAAATAGCAGTGAGAGCCAGGTTTGGAGTGGAGGGTTGGGCCAATGCCAGAAGAAGAAACATTATGGGAGCAAACTGAGCTGCCTTTTCATGTAACCTCGGGCCACTGGACTGGCCCAATGCCCAGCACCAGGGATCTGTCCGACCAACTTCAGGAATGGCCAGTACTAGGTACTGTAAGGAAGGTGCATGAAACACTGAGGAGGACAGTTATTGGACATCCCTAAGAAGGAACAATCAGAAGAGCTGTTTACTGCCCCTGAGGCTGCTGGGATGGAACCACTCACAACAGCTGAAGAATTAAGCTGCTAGTTACTTTTACCCCTCAGCAGTGTTCACTCTAATTTTTTCCATCCAGGGATGGAATACATTTTGTTCTGTGCACCAATACATGTGTGGATGTGCACGACCATAGAAACACATGCTGCCAACTGTGGGTGCTCTGCTCATCAGATGGGCAGCACCTGATTCTCTCCTGGACAGCTGCCCAAGCCACTCAGCTTACAGGGAACAGTGCGCCATGGTGTCCCTTATTGTGAGGAAAGAGGAAAGAGCTGCTGAGGTTCAGCGAAGCCCTAACATCACTGCTGTCACACAGCCACCTCCGCCAAGCCTAGCTGAATTCTGTTGTGGGTACTACCCCTTTAAGAAACAACCTGGCTGCTTCTGCCAATGCTACAGTTTTCCTTGGACTCCATCCATGGGGAAGTAAGGTTTGCAGAGATCAGACCAGGATCCTAGAAACATTGTGCTGCTTTGGAAATGCTGTTTACAGAGACGCTGAGGGACCCTAGATCCCCTGATGGCAATAGGGCACATGGCCTGGACAGTCAGGCCATATTTTTAAAGGTATTTAGATGCCAAACAATGCAATTAAGTGCTTCATGTCATAGATGCCTGACTCCCACTGATTTAAAAACCCTGTTCCTCAGGCTGTCTCTACAGTAGACTACATCCCTCTGTCAGCAGAGGGATGTAAATGAGGCATTTTGAAAGTGCAAATGAAGCGGGGATTTAAATATCCCATGCTTCATTTGCATAATGGTGTCATGGCGCTCTTTCGAAAAAGGTGCCATTTTGAAAGTACAACTGTGGTCTAGACGCAGTTCTTTCGAAAACAGCAGGCTTTTTCGAAAGATCCTGTACTCAAAAAATTAGGTTTACAGGCTCTTTCGAAAAAGCCTGCCGTTTTCGAAAGAACCGTGTCTAATGAACACCACGGTTTTACTTTCGAAATGGCGCTTTTTCAAAAGAGTGTCATGACATGATTATGCAAATGAAGCGTGGGATATTTAAATCCCCGCTTCATTTGCCATTTCAACGTGTCTAATTTACATCCCTCTGTCGAAAGAGGGATGTAGTCTAGACACAGCCTCAGTGACTATAGTGCAGTTTGGCAGAGTTAAAATAAAGTCACATACAAATTAATACCTCTGACTGGCCCTTCCGATTCTGACCCTGGCTTGCTCTGGAGCTGGCTGGCAAATATAAAACTAGCCCTGCACAGGAACCACAGCATGTGCAGCCATTTGCGGGCAGGGGGCAAAGGAAATTGCTGTGAAACAGATAATGGTTTGGAATTCTTTATTCCTCAAAGCCATGCCCAGGGCATGTGAACCCAGCTGGAATGTGCAGAGCTTCCCAAGAAGGCATTTCCCCTTTCCCATCCATGACTGCAGCCTTTTGAAACCCTCTGGCAATCCGCTTCCCCAAAACGATTTCTGTCCTGAGAGGGGAGTTTTCATCTACCAGCAACAGGGGAATAACGCTTCCCTGCACCACAGTGTGGGACAATTTACTGAGCCTGTCAAGGTGAACAGCCTCAGCTAGTTATTGAAGTGTGGGTACGCGTGTGTCCCAGAGGGATCATTTGGGGAAGCCAGCAAGGAGCTCAGTGCTAGTTTACACTGCAGGAGCAGGTGGGCTGTTCTCTGGGCTGCTGAACTCAGAAAGCTCTGCCTGCAGATCTCCTCCACTTGGCAGCAAAGACTCTATGAGAAGCAAAAAGTTGCTGGACTTGTGCTCTGCAGGTTTCCCTGCGTGCAGAACACCTCCCGGACGTGTCGCTAGCCCGGAGCTGCCAGGAAGTCAGCCTCGGTTGATTCGTGAGTCGGCGTGCGCGGCTGCGGAGGGAAAGCGAGAGCTCGCTCAGCAGCGGGCATCCGAGAGGTTTGCTCTTTGCGCAGGGAAGATGCGGCTCGTTCTGTGCAGTTTTAAGGGGAGTTGACCTGTATCCAGCTTCTAGCCACAGGAGCTCGAGCTAGGGACACGATTGGCTAACCGAGCCCGTGACTGACACTTGTAAATGAGTGCACTAGGGGCAGCGTGGCGCTGATTGGCTGGCGTGTGAGGCTCAGAAACTCGCTCGGAGAAGAGCTCTGGCCAGTCCCAGTCCTGCTGCCTGCGGAGTAAGTGCTCCAGGCGTAACCAGCGGGCTGCTGCCTTTGCTCAGGCACGCTCCCCGGCGAGCGACGGAGGGCAGACCTCTCGTGCACCGGGAAGATTGCCTTGCGGACCTCCAGGAGGGGAAGGGAAGCAGAAAGCTCCAGCAACGTGATTGCATTCAGCTGAAAGGATGGGCAGAGTCCAGAGTTCAGGAGGCCCCAGCTGGAGGGGAGCCGGGACCCTGCTGGTCTTGGCGGCCGGACTCCTTGCTTGCAGTAATGCCAATGAATACGACTATGTGAGTTTCCAGTCTGACATAGGCTCTTACCAGAGTGGCCGGTTTTACACCAAACCCCCGCAGTGCGTGGCCATCCCTGCGGACCTGCGCCTCTGCCACAGCGTGGGCTATGACAAAATGGTCCTGCCCAACCTGCTGGACCATGAGACCATGGCTGAGGTGAAACAGCAGGCCAGTAGCTGGGTGCCCTTGCTCAACAAGAACTGCCACATTGGCACCCAGGTCTTCCTCTGCTCCCTGTTTGCCCCGGTGTGCCTGGACCGGCCCATCTATCCCTGCCGCTGGCTCTGCGAGGCCGTGCGTGACTCCTGCGAGCCCGTCATGCAGTTCTTTGGCTTCTACTGGCCAGAAATGCTCAAGTGCGACCAGTTCCCCCAGGACGACGTCTGCATTGCGATGACCACTCCCAACGCCACGGAGGCTTCCAAACCCCAAGGTAGGTCTCCTCAGTGCTGGCCCCGTTCTTACTAACCCCTGGTCTTCCCCCATCCTAGCAGAGCAGAGGCTGGCCTGAAATCTCCAGTCCAAAGAAGAAATCCCTCCAGCGTTGATAGCAAGAGTAGCAAGAGTCACCTGAACTCTGCACCTCGGTAGCAGCCTCTCCTCCTGCCGCAGAGGGGTCTGTGAAGGGGCATCTCCCTTTAGAACTTTCCCCAGCTGCTACTTTGCTAGCCACTGCTCTCTGATTCCCCCCCTTTCTGGAGCAAGTGTTCTGTTGAAGGTCACAAGCTGAGACATTGGCAGCGTCTAAGCATGAACACGTTCTCCTCAGGGCTGGGCTCCCTGCCTGCTCTTCTGAGCCTGCTAGGCTGGAGCCCAGTTTTGATAAATGGGACCTGTCCACCACTATTGACAGTAACGCGAAAGGGACTGCTGCTGCCTCTGTCCTAACGGACCTTTCTTCCCATTCCTTCGTCTCAGAGGATCGTTTTATAGCAACAGCACCGGCCACACTTGTAGCCCTGTGCTAGCCCGGGGAAGTAGTGAACAGAAACCTCTCGGGAACACGTTGCTTTCCTAGCAGCGCTGAAGTTGGAGGCTGCAGGGCTTGTTCAGTCATTCCACAGAGCAGCCCGAGTGCAGCAGGTTACATGTATTTTAGTAAAACAAACCCTGTTCATTTCAGGTAAGGGCTATAAACCTGGACTGGGGGCTGGAGTTTTGTATGGGGAAACATTTTTATCAAGAATTTCATTGTAAGTAAACACTTCCAGGTTGTTTGTGCAAAGCAGATGCAAACTGCTTGTTGTTTATTGGATCTCAGATCTGTTCGTTATTTACATGGGCTTGCATGGTTTGCACTGCACTAAACTTTGGTTTGCTGCTTAAAACCTTTAAAACAAATACAGGACCTGTGTTTAGCTCTCCGATCCTGGTCCTAAAAGTATTTCAAAGGTTGGCCAGAAAGGAGAAAAAAAAAAAAAGCGAAGAGAAAGTATTTAAAAGGAGGTTGCTGTTCTCTTCTTCTGGGGCCTCTGGCTTCACTTAGAAGGGACAGGCTCACTTAGTTTTCCTGAGTTTCGTTGGAGGGAGTTTTCTATAGCTAGGGGAATGATTCCAGTGATTTTATTTTATACCTCGTGTGTCTGGGATTCATCTGAAGATAAATTTGCTATTCGCTAATGCTGCGCAAGTGCGTTACCTTTGGCAAACAAAGCACTTTCGTATTCTGCTGTGTGCATAGAGTCCTTGCCCAACCGGCCTGGGTTTTGCCTCTCATCGCTAGTTATGTAATAGTATGCCACTTTTCTCACCAGAATCTGTATTGCTCAGAATCCCCAGTTATCATTGAATTTCCACTCTCTTGGGCAGGAAGTGAATGCAGTCTGCAGCAAGGAGTAACCTCCTCAGTTCTGTAACAGAGCACTTGGAGAGACAGAGAGGCATAGCTTGGTTAATTCTCAGTACTGAATAGAGTGTATGTGAGAGGGGTAGAAGGCGCTTTCTCCCTGTCTATTCACAGCCAAACATGAGGGCTGCTCAGCTTGAGAAAAGAGTAAAAATTCTGGTGCTTGCATTCAGCAGGGATGGGACTGATCCGTTTCTCCATCTGCATCCAAATGCTGGGGCTTCCTCAGTGTTTCCCATCTCCTGCACCTTCCTTGGCAGAAGGGAGGAAAGCTCCTTGAGATCAGGGACCTGGCTAGCCCCTGCTGCAGTGAATTAAAGCATCTGAGCCCAGAGTAATGCTGTGTTTGGCTTGCAAACCTGACTGGGTGCCAATGTGTGACATGGAGCCTTGGGCAAGACCCCCATCTCTCAGGAGTCCCACGCTGCGGCTGGGCCGGCACAGCCTGGCCAGACAGCAGCAAGGGGGTGTGACATGCACTGCCAGGGCCAACCAGGCCAGAAAATGGTTTGGCAGGGTGGGAGAAGAGGAGCTTATTCTGCAATCACATCACATCACCATATGGAACCCACCAGTCTACCCACAGCTGAAGCAAACTGGCCAGCACAAGTGAGTTCCCAGGTGTGCCAAGAGTCCCACCTCAGGATTGAGTTTGAGGGGCAGGCGATGGGGAAACAGCAGGGATTTATGGATCACAGTCTCTGATTTTCTGGTTTTGTCCCAATTTTGTCACTTCAGAAAGTCCTTTATTTTGAAGGTAGGCTGTGAAATCACTGTCTTGAAAGGCTACAGCAACTCAGCAAAGCTAAATTCTCATCTTCTGGAGACATAGGACGACTTGTTCTGTGCCTCTTGAAATTCTCAATGCAGTACTTTCCCCACGTAACCCCCATCAGTTCAGACACCCATCACTTTGGGTCAGTATGGCCTATGTACTTCTCAGCTTCTTTTGAAATCCGTGTTGTTAGCAAGGGCTAGGAAAGAAGCTTTTTTTGAACAAACAGACTCTACTCAGCTTTTCCATGTAGGTTAGGCTGTGACTACAGGGGAGACTGCCCAGCGTCTCGACTGTGCCACTGGAAGGTCTCCCATGTACCTGCTCTCCGCCGGTGGGAGAGAGCTCTCCGGTTGGCATCCCCACTGAGTGGTAGGAGAGTGTCTCCACACTGCTGCTTCTGTTGGTGTAATTGATGCCGGTCAGGGGAGTGATTATTTTTTCATTCCCATGACTGACAGATGCTTTTCCAACAAAAGTAGTAGTGAAGCCATAGCCTTGGAAACATCCAAATAGAGTTTCTGGTAAACTTTGAATTTAAAACTCCTCTGTGCAGCGTGAACCATTTCTGACCTGCTTGCTGATACAATATTTCGGCATCATAATACTATTTATGGTAATCATTAAAGTAATTTCATTCCAATAAATTATGCCAACTCTGATTTCAAGCATCTGTACATCTTTTATGTGGGCTGCAGAAAGGATATAGGCGTCATCTGCCTTAAAAGTTACATCAACCTAGCTACAGTGCTCGGGGCATGAAAAAAATTTACAGCCCTGAGTGCTGTGATTAGGTCACCATAGAAGAAGGTAGGTTGATGGAAGAATTCTCCAGTCAACCTAGCCACTGACTCTTTAAGAGGAGGATAACTTATTACGATGGAAAGAGTCCTTCCATCAGTGTAGGAAGCTGTAGTGCCCATAACGTAGACGTAGCCCTGTTCTGTCAGTACTTGAGAAATGTCCCACCACAAAAACTTCATGGTCCATTCACAGTTCACTTACAAGCACTCTGGTCATCTGAAGAAGTGGGTTGTACCCACGGATGCTCATGATACCATCTACATGTTTTGTTAGTCTTTAAAGTGTTACCAGACTATTTGTTGTTTTTTAAGTTTGTCCTGTTACAGACTTACTTGGCTACCCCTCTGAAGCACAAAATAGTAACTAGGATTGGGCAAGTTGTACAAAGAAAGTACTGAAGGCCTTAACTACACCATGCCTCTGTTAAATGGCATGCACGCTCTTGTTTGACATGAGTGGGTTGGTTGGTATGCAAGAACATTCCCAGAAAGCAAGAGTCTTTGAATGCTTGTGCAAAAGTGTGTTCACGTGAAGGCACATGCTGGGACAGTTCATGCAGCCATCTTGAAATCCCTTTCCTTTCCTGGCTGCTCCTGGTTAAGGTTTTGGTTGTTCATTTGGAGGAAAAGTTGTCATGTGCCATACCTGTCCATTCCCCCACCAGTGACTGTGGGGTGAGTATTCCTAGCAGCAGGCAAAGAGCGTCAAGTAGAGCACATTTCGCAACAGTCGGAGGGCCTGTTCCTTAGCGGGTCTCACTTGCTGCATCTGGACTGAAGTCAGCGGAGTGAGTCCCAGCAGCTGGGGCTGGCCCAGAATTTCTTTGTGTCTAACTGACAAACAGAGAAGGCTCAGATACTGGTTCACCTCCTTTTGGAAACAAACAGCTAACAGTCAGAGTGAACTTGCAAGATAATCCCAATTACCTCCCTAATAGATGGCGACTCCAGCACCCAGCAATGCCTCCTACCCAGCCCCCTGGCAAAGAGTTGGACCTTGGACTGAAAATCAGTCAGTGCAGGGACCTGATACTGCAGGGTGCTGAGCTTGTGCACATTCCCAGCCTCTCACACTCCTGCAAATAACCACGGCAGAGTGAGTGGCCGAGCTGCCAGCCAGGGCTGATAATGGAGCTTGGTGGGGGGAGGCATTGGGGTAAATGAGTTACAGTGTAGCAGCTGGGCTTTCCTGCACTAAGTCCTCCTCTGCTCCTGGGAGTAGAGGGTTTTTTTTTGTTTTTTTTTTGGGTGTTGTTTTTTCAAATGAAAAGAAAAATCCAAATTAACTGGAGCCCCCTTAGATTTCAGGTTCTGGGGCTTGTTTCCTGTTGACTTAAATAAGGTCAGAGTCCAACACTGCTCCCTCCTCCCCCTCCCATATTAATAAAAGCCAACTCTTTTAGCATTTTCCCCCATTAACACCTTAGCACTGGAATTTGGTTCTGCCTCTCAAAGAGCTGACCTGCTGAATTCCTTTCTCCTTAAGTAGGAGGTGGTAAAGTCTGCAAGCCTACAGTATGCATCAGGGGAGTCACAGATTAATATAGCATTACACATTCCTCTTCCTGCCCTTGGAGTAAGGCTGCTTGAAAGCCGAGCGGTAGGAAATGGGCAGCAGGGGAAAACCAGGTTGGGAACAGACGGAGGTTTTGTTCAGAAACGCTGTCAAATGCAGGAACCAGCATGTCGGCCCAGGCACAACTCAGACGGGCTAGAAGATGTCCAAGTGAGTTTTTGTCCCAGCTTCCAGTGGTCTGAGCTCACTGTGTAGTCTGGGAAGCCACGCCAGCATCAATTTTCTTACAGCCTCAGACTGCTATTTTAGGCCAGGTCTGCACTACAGGGCTAGGTCAACGTAAGCTGCTGAGCTGTGAAAGTGTCTTTGCTTAAATTTGGCTCCAGCTGACACAAGTGCTTCTCTAGCTTATTTGATAACCCCACCTCCCCAAGCAGCGGAGACTCAGGGTTGACACAGTTAGGTCGACACAGTGCCGGAGTAGACGTGCATT